TGAAAATGGACCCACACCTTTCACCACTAAAATAGACTCTTACTGGATTAAAGATTTAAATTTAAGACATGAAACTATAAAAATATTAGAAGAAAGTGTAGGGAAAACACTTGAAGAAATCGTCCTGGGTGAAAATTTTATGAGAAGGACCCCATGGGCAACTGAAGCAACATCAAAAATACACTACTGGGACCTGATCAGACTAAAAACTTCTGCATAGCCAAGAACACAGTAAGTAAAGCAAACAGACAGCCCTCAGAATGGGAGAAGATATTTCCAGGTTATGTCTCTGATAAAGGTTTAATAACCAGAATCCACAGAGAACTCAAGCGTATTAGCAAGAAAAGAACAAGTGATCCCATCTCAGGGTGGGCAAAGGACTTGAAAAGAAACTTCTCTGAAGAAGAGAGGCGCGTGGCCTACAGACATATGAAAAAATGCTCATTATCATTAATCATCAGAGAAATACAAATCAAAACTACTTTGAGATATCATCTAACTCCAGTAAGATTAACCCACATCACAAAATCCCAAAACCAGAGATGCTGGTGTGGATGTGGAGAAAGGGGAACACTTCTACACTGCTGGTGGGAATGCAAACTAATACGTCCCTTTTGGAAAGATGTTTGGAGAACACTTAGAGAACTAAAAATAGACCTGCCATTTGATTCTGCAATTCCTCTACGAGGTATATATCCAGAAGACCAAAAATCACATTACAACAAAGATATTTGTACCAGAATGTTTATTGCAGACTAATTCATAATTGCTAAATCATGAGAGAAGCCCAAGTGCCCATCAACCCATGAATGGATCAATAAATTGTGGTATATGTACACCATAGAGTATTATGCAGCCTTAAAGAAAGATGGAGACTTTTCCTCCTTCATGTTTACCTGGATGGAGCTGAAACTCTGAATCACTGCTTAAAAGAGAGAGTACACTGGTCAGGATATCCATTTGAGGTTTTATGGCCCAGAAATAAAGTTTCATTGTATTAAAAAAAAGAAAGAAAGAAAATCTTTAAAATGACTATTCTTGGGCATTTCTACTTATCTTAGAAGCAACCAGACTTTCTAACCATAATCTTGTCACAAAATTATGTTCACTTTTAATTTTATAAATCAATAAATCATCACTAGGAGTAGGCATGAGGATCGTTTGAAATTAAAATTTATTTTGGGATGGTGGAAATGTTTTATATCTTGCTTGGGGGTGGTATTTACATAGGTATACACATTTGTCAAACTCAAAGTGTATGCTTAACATAAATGCATTTTATTGTATGTCAATTACATCTGTTTAAAAAAAATCAATAAGCTAGGCTGGGTGCAGTGGCTCATGCCTATAATCTTAGCACTCTGAGAGGCTGAGGTGGGTGGACTGCCTGAGCTCAGGAGTTCAAGACCAGCCTGAGCAAGAGTGAGACACCATGTCTAAAACTAGCAGGGCACTGTGGCAGGCACCTGCAGTTCCAGCTACTCGGGAGGCTGAGTCAAGAGGATCTCTGGAGCCCAAGAGTTTGAGATTGCTGCGAGCCATGATGCCATGGCACTCTACCAAGTGCAACAAAGTGAGACTCCGTCTCAAAAAAAATAATAATAAAAAATAAATACGCTAGTTCCATAAATACATTCTCTTATGATATTTAACAAAAGGGGGAAAAAACAACTGATGTTCATCCAAACTGACTTGATGTTATCTGAATCAAATAGTGAAAAATTGAACTGCTTGGAATTTCTGTTTTGGGAATTCTAAATCTAGAAAAAGTGATAGATAAAACATGATGAGACTTTACTTTTTTCAGAAGATCAGGGATTCTCCTTTTCTGAGCCTATGCACTCTGTGTTGGCAGCTTTGAAAGAAAAATCATAAGGCATTTCAAACCACCCATTTGATCTTACAGTATTGTTTTTAATTCCCTAAGTTATCACTTGCCATCACCTGGGCCCTTTATAGTAACTCCCCCACCCTTTGTTTTTCTGTGCCCTCTTCCCTCATCCAAATGCTTGATGTAAAGTGGATCCCATCCATCCTCTCTACACCCTGCTTCTAATCCTGGCTGATAGGTACAAATGTACTAATGACTTTGACCTTGACCTTGTGAATTTAACCCACCAAGTCTTTGTGTGATGAGGAGGGTGGATAGAAAAACATGGCTGTAGTGCTTACATTTGATTTTTTTGTATTACAAAAGAAAATGAAGAAAATAATTTAAACTATAGCAGAAGCATGTGAAAGGAAAAAGTGAAAGTCTTTCCCTACTAATTGTCTCTATGGGGTAACCAGATTAATTTAGGTATATTCCTCCATGTTTTTTTTAGGACAGAAAAGTAATTCTCACCAATTATATACACTAATGTAATTTTTTTTCTTTTGACTTAACAATATAGCACTCTGCTCTGACAAATAATATGAACTGCATGAGAGCAAGGATTATGACTGCTTCATTCACTGCTATATTTCTGGAGACTAGAACAGTGTCTGGCACAAAGCAGGTGCCAATAACTGTTCACTGAATGAATATATGGACATAAATTCTCCTTCCTGTCAGATCAACTAGAAGTTTCACTGGATCACAAATGTGTCTATTTTGTCCCCTTCTCTGGCTTCAGCTCTAAAATACTTGGCACATAGTATACACTTAATAAGAATCTGCTGAATTAGAAGAAAAGCTTAATGATGAAACTCTCTAATTCCTGTATGTCAGTGTATTGACGTAACACAATGCAATCAACTCTTCTCCTTTTGATGTAAACATTTCTTACAGACACCGTCTTCAATGATCATTCTTGTATACCGACTTTGGTTTAAAGATTTTTATAGGATAGGAATCTCTCTGGGGGGAAAACCAACCAATGATCTGAAGTCCCTTCCCACTACAATTTTATGACTTTAAAACACTTGTGATTAATTTTTCAGCTTGTCTAAGAGCTGGTGCCTAGGCTTAACTTTGCAACAATCTTCCTTACATCTCTCCATATAGAAAGCCAGTGTCTTCCAAAACTATCTAGATGCAACCTGAATACTATAATCACACAAGGAAACTTCTAGAAAGAAGCAGGCTGCCTGTAGCCCTGGTGACCAACATCTTCTGCATGTAGCACAGGAGCAGCTGAATCAGCACCTGGGGAGAGCAGGTATCGGGCAGAGATAGGTCCATATTGTTGATTCAATTCTTAATGTGCTAAGCAGGGCTCAGCAGAAAAAGAGAAACAGACAAAAGAGTATCAGAGTCTCAAGGGCCAGAGGCGGAAAATGATGCTGAACGACAAAGGGCATTTGGCCTGGAGAAGAGCAGATTTGAGGTCTATAAATTCTCCAACAAGTGAAGGTACAGAGTTATATTCTATTCAAGCTCTCCAATATAAAAGTCTTTCTAAAAAGCTACCTTTGTACTTACTTAACTTTTTTACACCAGAGATATTTAGTAAGTTTCCATTACATATCAGAGTCACGCGAGGCACTGGGAAGACAGTGATAAGCAAGACCTACTCCGCACAACTTGCACAGTTAAGTTTAGGGACCACTGTCTTCCCCTTGAAGGATCTGATGCTGACAATACAGATTGCTGGAGGCCTTTGCCTTCTTTCCACCAGGAAACAGAATCTGTGTCCTACTCACTGCTTCTTCTTCTGTGAAAAATACAGCTCCTGTTCTCTCCACAAAAGGAGAAGTTGGTCAGAGATTTTCCTTTTGAGTGCACAATGAGCAAAACACCCGCGGAGCAAACACCCTTCCTTTTTCCCCTGGAGAGTCTTTCTCACTGAGCCGAAGGAGAGGTGTGCAGGGCACTTGCTGTTATTGAGGCAATGCTCAAAGAAGCAGAAGGAATCCTCAAGATGATGTATGTAGCTCAATGTAGTCATTTATTCATCTTTTAATAATCAGATGTCTACTTAAAAGATCAGTGCCCCCCCTTTAGACTGTCTGTACCAAAAAAAAAAAAAAATTATCTTCAGGAGCTTCATGGACACATTGTGTATCTGGATTTCCTAGAGCTCCAGAATCCACATGTCAAGAATTCCTGTCTTTAAAAGCCTGTTTAAGCTCTCAGGATTAACAGTCAGTCTCTGGGGTGGGTACCCCTGTTGGCTTAAATACAGAGGTAATGACACGTCTACTGCAGGTCACAGTGCAATCCACATGTGAACTAAGTCTTCTTAGAATAAGAAAAGATGGCCAGGTGCGGTGGCTCATGCCTGTAATCCCAGCCCTTGGGAGGCTGAAGTAGGTGAATTTTCTGAGCTCAGAGATTCAAGACCAGCCTGAACCAGAGTGAGATCTTGGCTCCAAAAATAGCCAGGCATTAGCTCAGCACCCGTAGCACAGTGGTTACAGTGCCAGTCACATACACTGAGGCGGGTGGGTTGGAACCTGGCCTGGCCCAACTGAACAACAAAGACAACTGCAACAAAAAATAGTCAGGCATTGTGCGGAGCACCTGTAGTCCCACCTATTTGGGAGACTGAGACCAGAGAATCACTTGAGCCCAAGAATTTGAGGTTGCTGTGATGCCACGTCACTCCACCAAGGGCAAGAAAGTGAGACTCCGTCTCAAAAAAGCAAAAAAGGAATAGGAAAACTCTTTGGTGGTCATGGATGGAACCTCTAAAACTGGCTTAGCACCTGTAGCACAGTGGGTACAGCACCAGCTACATACACAGAGGCTGGCAGGTTCAAACCTAGCCTGGGCCAGCTAAGACAACAATGACAACTGACAACTGCAACAAAAAATAGCCAGGCGTTGTGGCAGGAGCCTGTAGTCCCAGCTACTTGGGAGGCTGAAGCAAGAGACTCTCTTAAACCCAAGTGTTGAAGGTTGCTGTGAGCTGTGACACCACAGCACTCTACCAAGGGCCACATAGTGAGACTCTGTCTCAAAAAAAAAAAAAAACAAAACAAAAAAAAGGAGACCCTCTAAAACTAGCCAAGTGACACATCTCAAAGTTTTCAAAAAAGACAATACCAAACCCTGAAAGGTGACAGACCCAGAGTCCTCAGGCTTGCTGCCCATGGCTGACAGAGCAGTAGTACTCATTTGGATCCTCCATCTCGTACACGTTCTCCTCAATGGTATAGATGTTTTCTTCTGAGCGCATCCCCTCTGCTGCTGCATTGGCTAACCCTGAAGGGGCAAAGTTGGACAAAGAGACGAGCCTGTGGAAATAAAATGTTGTTGCTGGTTATGCATTTCCCAGGTAACAGTTATTTTAAGAAAATTGGCGGGCACAGTGGCTCATGCCTGTAATCCTAGCGCTCTGGGAGGCCAAAGTGGGAGGATCCCTTGAGATCAGAGTTCAGGACCAGCCACAGCAAGAGCAAGACCCTGTCTCCACTGAAAATAGAATAATGAGCTGGGCCTGGTGGCATGTGCCGGTAGTCACAGCTACTGGGGAAGCTGAAGCAGAAAGATGTCTTGAGCCCAAGAGTTTGAGGTTGCTGTGAGCTAGGCTGATCCCATGGCAGGCGCCTGTAGTCCCAGCTATTTGGGAGGCTGAAGCAAGAGACTCTCTTAAGCCCAAGAGTTGAAGGTTGCTGTGAATTATGACACCACTGCACTCTACCAAGGGCCACATGCTGAGACTCATTTCAAGATTAAAAAAGAGAGAGAGACTAGGTTTTGCTACAGGAGCAACGAATTGCAGTGTAGGGATACTTGCTCAGATGCTGAATGGGAGGAAAAGCCATAAAACTGCAATAAAAGAATATGGGAACAATAGAGGAGATTTGAATTAATTTTAATTTTTTTCAGGTATGAGGATTTTTTGTTTGTTTGTTTAGGAAGTATTTAGTGTATCACACACGATCCTAATGCACCCAGAGATATACCAGTGAGCAAAACACAAAAACTCCATATAAATTATATATCAGTGAACTTTGTGTCTTAGTATTGTTACCTGTGAAATGGCAATAATGTGAGGTCTACCTGAAAGGGCTACTGTGAGGAGTACTTACTCATTCAGTCATTAATATTCAGTCATCAGGCACTGTGCTAGGGACACAGGGGTAATATGGCAGGCAAGTTCTTTTTGTTTTTCATTCTTTTCCATTTTAAATTAATCTGAGGGTACAAACCATTAGGTCATGTAATTTACACATGACAGGTAAAATTCAGAGTTGAAGTTGTGTCCTACACCCAGGGAGTACGCCCTATATTCAGGTACTTACTAAGTGGGAAACTATTGAATCTCCCCCCTTTTCTCCCCCGTCTTGAGTTTAATTACAATTTTCCCTCATGTGGGGTCTCTGATGTTAACCTCCTAGTTTCAAATTGGTATTGAGTATATATGATGCTTATTTTTCTAATCTTGTGATAATTTGCTTAGGAGAATGTTCTCCAAATCCAACCAGATTATTACAAAGGAAGCAAAATTTTCCATATTTTTTGGGAATTAATACTAGTATACATCTACCACAATTTATTAATCCATTCATGTGTAGATGGGCACTTGGGCTAGTTCCACATCTTTGTTATTGTTAACTGAGCAGCTATGAACATTCTAGTTCAAATAAGGCAATTTTTTTTTTTTGGTAGAGACTTACTCTGTCGCCCTAGGTAGAGTGCCCTGGCATCACACAGCTCATAGCAACATACAACTCCTGGGTTTAGGCAATTCTCTTGCCTCAGGCTCCCAAGTAGCTGGGACTACAGGCACCCACCACAATGCTCAGCTATTTTTTCTGCTGCCATGTGGCCAGGACCGAGTTTGAACCTGCCACCCTCGGTATATGGGGCTAGCACCCCACCCACGGAACCACAGGTGTGACCCTAAAGTAGGCAAATTCTTATTTTATTTTATTTTTATTTTTTTAATTGTTTGGGATTCATTGAAGGTACAAAGAATTAGGTTACACTGATTGCATTCATGAAAGTCCTTCTTATAATTGTGTCTCAGCCCTAAGAGGTGTGTTATACACTGTGACCCCCCATCCCTGTCCCTTCTCCCTCCTCCTCATGCCCTCATTCCCCTACTCTGCTCCTTGTATTAACTCATCTACTGCCTAAAATAGGCAAATTCTTAAATGTCTTAAGTGTCTATGGAGTTTACAAATCACAAGTAAATTGATAATTTATAAGAGATGAGCATTAAGCAAATAATCTCATGAATAATGAAGAAATACATGGTGTCCATGTTAACTGTGAATATTACCATATTTCTAAGTTGCAGCTCTAGTAAAATATCTGGGCATAGATAATGCAAAACCACTGATAATTAAATATTTTATTTGACCTTATGCCACTTTTTTAGTAAAGATTATTTTATCTTTGTAATACAGTATATTTTACTTAATTGAAAATTATCAGTGCTGTAGATAGCATTTGAAGGATAGTCACTTTTTTCTTCAAAATATATTGCATTCTACTCATTTACCAAATGTCTCTAAAATTCTAAAATCTAGTAAAAGTTATGTAAGCTCTGCCTATCTGGAACAGATGTGTGTGTGTGTGTGTGTGTGTGTGGTCAGGATAGAGATTAAATCAGGGACATATAATAGACCAGTGGTTCTCAGACCACCAGGAAAGTATCATGTACATATGTACATATTTATTATAACATCTCCATGATATTCAAACTGGAGAGGTGTTAGAGCAATACTTATACTGGGGCTTTATCCCCAGAGACTCTGATTCATTGCTCTAGGGTTGGTCCTGCAACATATGCTTGAGGGCCCAGGTGATTCTAATAGGAAATCTAAGTTACAAATACCTGGGCTAGGAACTCTGAGAGTAGATTCTGGGTTTCTGGATTGTTTTTGTTTTTGTTTTTGTTTTTTTGAGACTGAGTTTCACTATGTCACCCTTGGTAGAGTGCTGTGACGTCACAGCTCATAGCAACTTCAAACTCTTGGGCTCAAAGGATTCTCTTGCCTCAGCTTCCCAAGTAACTGGGACTACAGGCACCCACCATAATGCCTGGCTATTTTTTTGTTGCAGTTGTCATTGTTGTTTAGCTGGCTGGGGCTAATTTCGAACCTGCCAGCCTCAGTGTATGTGGCTGGTGCGGTAACCACTGTGCTATGGACACCAAGCCTCTTTTTTTGTTTGTTTGTTTGTTTGTTTTTAATTCAACATTTCTTTTACTTTTTAAAAATTTTTTTTCTAATGGACACCAGGTCTCCTTATGTTGCCCAGCTTGGTCTTAAAATCCTGGCCTCAAGTGACCCTCCGACCTTGGTCTCCCAAAGAGCTGGGATTATAGCCCTGAGCTACCACATCCAGCAGTTCTAGGATTTTAGTCACTTCTATTACCCCAAAGTCCAACTCAGAGCCTGGATATAGCAGATAGTCGATCAGTGGAAGGGTTGAGGGTTCAGTTCATTGAAAAAAAATCCATTAATACAGAGACAGATAAGCATTTCTTGTTAATAAAGAAACAAATTTTATACCTTAAATTTAGAACTAATGAAGGTAGAGGTATCAGGAAGTAAACACAGCAACATGTTAAATTTTCACTTCACTAAAACTCAGTGGAAAGCACGCAAGGGGGAGGGACAAAGGGCAAGGGAATAAACCAACTTAATGGGTACTCGGAACACTATTTGGGTGATGGACACACTTACAGCCAGGACTCAAGTATTACAAAAACAATCTTTATAAACTAAAACATTTGTACCCCCTTAATATTTTGAAATAAATAAATTTTCACTTCATAATTAAGCCTAGGGCAAAAAGGAAGTATAAGCTTTGATCCCAAAGCCCCAGAGAAGGACTTTTCAGAGCAAAGATCTGATTCATACTAGAGTAGGGACCTCCAAGATTCCCACCTTCCCACTACCCAATCCCTTATTCTTACCTTGAATTCTGTAACTTCTCTTTGCTATAAGAATGCCCTAGATAAAAGAAGAAACAGCAATAAAAATGCTTTTATAAAATAAATGAGATAAGAAATGAAATAGGCTCACTGGAGGCAAGAGCTATTTAGGGAAATCTGGTGTCACCTTACACTGAATTAAATCAAACTCACAGCACATGCCGGTTTATCATGCAGACTACACTAGAAAACAGCTAAGATGAATTTTTCTTATTTAACAAATATTACAGAGCATCTACTATGTGTCTGGCAGTTTCATATAAAGGTGAACTGTGAGTTGTGAGCCCTCTGGCAAAGGCGAACTGAAAAAAAAAAAGAAAGAAAAAGAAAAGGCAGAAGAAAGAAAAGAAAAACAGCAAATAAGAAAATAAAATAATTTCAAATTGTGATGAATTATAAAGAAAACATAACAAATTGAAACAGGTAATAGACAGAGTGGTCAGGGAAGAACTCCCAGAGATGACCTGTAATGTGTCCTCACAGAAGACAATGAGTTAGGAGTTAGCCAAGTAAAGAACCAGGGGGTGCATCCCAGGCAGAGAAAGCTCCTAGTAAAGATCTTGCCTAGCACCTGAAACCAAAAACATAGCTGAATTAAGAAAGCAACCCAAGGTAAGGTCTGAAAGGTGGGCTGAGGCTAGATCCCCTAGGACCTTTTCAGCCATAATCAGAAGTTCGAATTTTATTCTAAGAACTGTAGGAAATCATTGAAGGACCAATACATATTCTGATTTGTGTTATAATATCCATGCTATTATGTAAGAAATGGATTAGGACGAATAAAGAAATAAGCAGAGATGACAGTGCCTTGGAGTTAGATGGTAGCCAAGACAGATACAGAATAATGAAGGAATTTTAGATCTATTTTGGAGAAAAACCACAGGAATTGAAGTTGGATTGCTTATTAGGAGGGAGGAAAAAGAGGATTTAGGGATGACTTCTGAATTTCTGATTTAAGCAACCAGACAGATGGTGGTAAAACTCAGTATCCGGAAGAAAACTAGGAAGGGAAACTGAAACACAGAACCTACAGCTTCAATTTGTACACATGAAGTGTGCAAGTGGAGCTGTGAGTTGGACAATTAGCCTTGCAGTACCAACACATTTAAGAATTGGAGAGAGAGATTAAAGATGACATTTAAGTCCTCAAGAACATATATTATTACCTTGAGGGTTTAGAGAGGGGAAAAGGGGCCATGCCTGAGGAATCTCAACATCTAAAGATGAGTCAGCATTCTGGGATGCCGAGGCAGGTGGATTGCTTGAGCTCACATGTTTGAGACAGCCTGAGCAAAAGCAAGACCTCATGTCTAAAATATAATAGTTATAACAATAGGTGTTATAGCTAGAGTCTATAGTCCCAACAATTTGGGAGGCTGAGGTAAGAGGATCTCTTGAGCCCAAGAGTTTGAGGTTGCTATGAGCCATGATGCCGCACTCTACTGAGGGTGACTGAGTGAACGTCTGTCTCAAAGAACATAAAAATGAATAAAAATAAGGCAGAAGAACTGAAAAAGAATGGCCAATCATCTAGGAGAAAGGTATTTGAGAAATCAAGAAAAGGAAGCTTTCTAGAATGAGTGGAGATCAATTTAGAAGAATACTTCTTAAAAATTGGCTGCAATGAAGACAAGGGTACCTATCAGATTTAGCAAACTGGAAGAGGTCATTGGTGAATTTGACTAAAACCACTCTTCCAGATAGACGATAGATGATGGTGAGTGGAAGAGTACAGATGAAAAGCAGGAACAACTTTTTCAAGAATTATGGTGGGCAGTGTCTGTGGCTCAAAGGGGTGGGGTGCCAGCCCCATATGCCGGAGGTGGTGGGTTCAAATACAGCCCCGGCCAAAAATTGCAAAAAAAAAAAAAAAAGAATTATGGCTGTGAGGTCAAGTGGAGAAATGGGAATAGCTGGAGAAGAATGGCTGAACTAGAACACATATGCTAGTGAAAACAGTAGCATAAACAGAAAAGAGGAGACAGATGACTCAGAGAAAGGGACAAAAAAGGGGAGGTCTTCGCAAAGGCATAGAAGATGCAATGATATTTCATCAGTGAAGAGAGGGGCAAAGGAGGTTTGAGTGGCAGTGAGGTATGGTTGGCCACCTCAGAGAGAGGATGAGAAAGATGTAGGACCACAGAACATTATTGACTGCCAGTTTGTGTCTATGAGGTTATGACCTAAAAATCTGTCACCTTGATTATAAGATTTTCCACAGCAACTTCCAGGGTAAAGATTGCAAACTGGTCGGGACTTCTCATCTATTCTTGTAAGTAGTCATGTTTTTTTGAGTAAAATGCAGTAGAACCTCCGTAGTTGACCACTTCCCTACATTAATCTCATTAAGTTGACCTAGTTTTCATAGACCAGACATGCACCACATGTATGTATCAGTACAGTAGCCTAGTTCCTTATATTGTCTGCCTCTGTATACTGACTAGTCTGTTACAGTCCCTTGGGTGGTCAACTTACAGACATTCTACTGTATATGTGTTTATATAAATAATCAGATTTCTCCCATGCTGCATTACCCTTTACATAAACTAGCATGGTCCTTAATATACAGGCCTTGGCAGAATTCGAAAGAAGTCATGTTATCATTTCTTAACAACTCCAAGGCTTCATAGTCATGTGATCAATTCACAAACTCTACTATCTCTGAGCAAAGCCAGGTAACTGTGGGTGGGGTAGTTTCTTTCTCTGGATAATCCATTTAACAATAATGGCAGAAAACATGTGGTAGAGAGTATAACAGCTCTAATGTCAACTCCTGATCTATCAATTAACTATGTGAATTTGGGCAAGTTATTAACCTTTCAGCATGCTGGTCCTCCTTTGGAATCATGTTCATACCTATCTCATGGGACAGTTATATGGATTTAAGGCACATAAACCACTTGGCAGCTTCAGGCCATGTATAAGGTAACTAACTCATCACTATTTTCCTTTGGCATTTTCAGGGTTAGCACTGGAAGCCCCATATCTTAGGAATCCCTTCAATCCTGGGCCAAATTGGGATAGCTGGTGACCTCACACATAGTCCCTCTCTGTGAATTAGTAAGAAAGGCTATATAATGTATTACACTCTGGGGTATAAGGTCTGGGCCTTTGCTCTTAGAGAAAAGAAAATATTGATATATCCAATTATAAAAGTGTGTGAGTTTTTGGGTGATGGAAATATTTGGATACTTTTCCCCTTTTCCCCTAAAAACAAGAGTTGGATCTTGATTACAGTGATGGCTTCCCAGAGTAATTATCTATCAAAATTCATCAAATTGAATATACTTAAAATATGCAGTTTGTCATATGTAAGTTAAACTTTATAATATATACATAGTTGAGTAATATGCAGAATGAGTGGAGGTCAACTCAGAAGAATATACTTTATAATACACTTCCAGAGTAATTATCTATCAAAATTCATCAAATTGAATACACTTAAAATATCCAGTTTATCATATATAAGTTATAATTTATACATATTTGAATAATATCCAGAATGAGTGGAGGTCAACTCAGAAGAATACTTCTTAAAAAGTGGCTACAATTTTAATAAAAAAAAAATTCAGCAACTATCTCAAGAATGTCAGAAAAAGTATCCAATGTACTCAGCCCTACTATGAAACTAATTTATAGCTTTCATATGAAAGCTATAGCCCAATTATAGCCCAAGAATATGGGGAAGGGGGAAAGGGAAGGGGGGAGGATGGGTGGAGGGAGGGTGATTGATGGGACCACACCTATGATTGCATTAATGTACACAGCTATGATTTAATAAAAAAAAAAAATCAGCCATAGATTTAAAAAAAAATTGGCTGCAATGAAGACAAGGGTATCTATTAGATTTAGCAAAATGAAGGAGGTCATTGGTGAACTTGACTAAATATTTGACTACCCCACCCACAGTAACCTGGGTTCACTCAGCAATAGTAGAGTTTGTGAAATGATCACATGAATTTGAAGCCTTGGAGCTGTTAAGAAATGATAACATGAGCGTAGCGCCTGTAGCACAGTGGTTACAGTGCTGGCCACGTGCACTGAGGCTGGCGGGTTCGAACTCAGCCCAGGCCAGCTAAATAACAATGACAACCGCAACAATTTAAAAAAGAAAGAAATGATAACATGACTTCTTTTGAATTCTGCCAAGACCTGTATATTAGGGACCATTCTGGTTTATGTAAAGGGTAATGGAGCATGGGAGAAATCTGATGATTTATATAATAACTTCTTTAAAAATAAAGATAAGTAATTTAGAAGAAAACTGTGTGTGCTGAGCATGATGATGGAGGAAATATTCTGTAACCTGGCCATGACCCCATGGTAAAGGGGCTACTTTTCTCAAAGGGCTACACTCAAGAAACAAATAACAAGGAAAAATACCCAAAAGGAAGTGGTTTTTTTGTGGCTGTCTTCCCTAATAAACCTAAACATACTGATGAATTAAAAAGATGAATTTTCTTAACCAAAGATAGGAGAACAAATACTGGAATAAGCCTGCTTAGATTTAAATTCCATTTGCTAAATCTGTTTTGCTTTGTTTTTTAAGTCCTATTCAAGCATGGGACCACTTGCTGATTCTGAAACCTTGGGAAAATGGCTTACGCTGAGCTTTACTTTCCTTCACTGCAAAATGGGACTGATAACGCTAGCTATCTTATAAAATGATGGTGATGGTGACAGTTAAATGTATGTAAAACAGTTAGCACAGTGCCTGCCTGACACATGGTAAGTGCAGAGTACAAGTTAGGCATGATTGTTAGAGTCTGGAGGAGCAAAAGGACATTTAGTCTGAGGACCTTTAGGTATAATTATAAACTTACATTTCTGTCGAGATTTGTGTTGGTTCCTATTTTAACAGTTCCTTATCTGAGAGAAGGAGAAGTAACATCAAACAACTCACATTTGAAAATTAAAACACCAAAGATAAGAGTGAGAACCAGCCCGGAGATTCCTGCTCCAATGTAGACAACTGTTCTGATGGTCACTCTAGGGTCTTGTAACTCATTAGCCGATATGGATATTTGCTATGGAAACACAAACAGAATTTAGTCAGCAAATGCCCAAATTGGTTGTGTACTTAGTCTCAAGAGTTGTGAATCAGATCATCCCTTTTATAACATCAAAAGATTACAGTCCTTGAAACCACCCTTGATCTAGCCCATTCTAGTCAAGTCTCAAACCACTCAAAGAAAGGAATTAGCTTAATCTTTGGAATTAGCAAGAAAACAAATGTGCTCTTCTGTGCTGTGGGTGGAAAAGGAGCTCTTAGTAAGAGGACCTCTAACCCCCCAAAACAAAAAACAATTTTTAGAGTGGAATCCGATTGGTCAAGATACCCTGGTGTTCCCCAGGCACTTTTAGAGTGGTCGACATTTGGTATTTTACAGTGAAACCTCTATTTTCACAAAAAGGTAGTGATTAAAAAGCAAAGACTTTGGGGCCAGACAGTCCTAGGATCAAATCCCCAGCTCTGTCACTAAGAGCTGAGTGACCTTGAGAGTTACTGGGAAAATTAAGTGACAAAAATTATAAAACAGGCCAGGCACAGTGGCTTACGCCCATACTGCTATCACTTGGGAGGCCAAGGCAGGTGGATTGCTTGAGCTCAGGAGTTTGAGTCCAGCTTGAGCAAGAGCAAGATCCCATCTCTACTAAAAATAGAAAAACCAACCAAGTATAGTGGTACATGCCTGTAGTCCCAGCTACTTGGGAGGCTGAGGCAAGAAGATCACTTGACCCCAGGAATTTGAGATTGCTGTTAGCTACGATGCCATAGCACTCTAATCAGGGTGACAGAGTGAAACTCCATCTCAAAAAAAAGAAAAATTATAAACTCTTAACACATGGCCTGGTACATAATGTTCAATCAATGGTAGCTATTATTGCTATTGCTATAATTAATTTGATTTTCTGATAACTGAGAGTCAGACGGAAAAATCCTCCTGTTTCTAAAATTTCAGCTCTTTAAATTTCCTTTTAAAAACAGTATTTGTGCAGTGCCTGTGGCTCAAAGGAGTAGGGCACTGGCCCCATATACTGGAGGTGGTGGGTTCAAACCCAGCCTGGGCCAAAAAACTGCAAAAACAGTATTTGTAAATACTTTTAAAATAAAATGTCCAGGAAGTTAAATCTTCCATTTATTCAATACAGATTTACACATTTATTCAATATACATCAGTTATGCAATAGCAGGAGTCCTATACGCAAAGTTCTGTGCATGAAGCACAGTCAGTGCACAGAGGTCCTGAAAAGGCAGTCCTGGACCACAGAGAAAGGAGGGACAAACACGGATGCGGACCATCAGTTGTGCAGACAAAAGCAGAAAACTGCATCAAACAATGTGGACTCCTGGATATGTCCTCAAAGAGGTCTGAAGTCACTGCAGCAAGTGTGATTTCTACTAAGGGTTTTTTTTTTTTTAACTCGGAAACGGTTTGGGGGGGCATTAAATTACAGTTAATCAAAATATTGCTTTATTTATAGTTAAATATATAACCTCTTGGTATTGAATAGTCCTGATTGGAGTCCAATCATATATAAATAAAATAAATTTTAAATAAGCCAATAATTTTTCCCCTTAGGACTGCAATGGAAGCAAGGAAAAACACCTTCTAGGGAGATGTAAGAGTCTTTGAAACTTCCTCAGGACATAGAGTTGTGAAATTGAAGAAGAAAAACAAAATGCTGATGTTTCATCATGTTTGTTTTCAAGCACTTCCTAGGTATTCTACACACATAATTCCTTCCTTCCAACAGGCCTGTGCAGTCAGAACTGACATCAGTAAAATGCTATATCCAAGGAATCTGAAGCTAAGGAAGGTTTGGGTTTTGTCCTCCGATGAAAGGGTAGCCGGAAAGGAAATGTAAAGCCATACTTTTTTTTCTCTGAGTCAAATATGACATTAGTTCACCAAAAATAGTAACTCACTGTTTGATTTTCATCTTGGAGTATCCCCAGTGTCCATGTTTCTGTAAAAAAAAAAAAAAAAAAAAGGAGGGGGAATAGACAATAGTTAAGAATGTTTTCTTTTATCTATGTTTCAAAAAAATCTTAATGATGCCTATAATCCTACTTGAAATTAGACTCCATACTCTTCATAATCACTAAATTGGAGACCAACAAAATTTACTGAATACTTTCAAATCAATTTCACATTTTTTCATCTAGATAACAAAGTCTACTATTTTATGAGATGGAGACTTCTGCCAGAAAGACCTACGTTAAATAGGTATTAATAGTTTGTCCTGCCACAGGATTCTAACAGGCTCTACAAAAATTCAGCATTTTTAACTCAGGTGTTACACCAATATTCAAATTAGGCTTCAAAAGACAACAAAATATCATTTTTTGAGATTTCATATTTATGCATTGGAAAGTAGACAGGGTATTGGTTATCTATAAATAAAAATAATCACTGCAGCTACAACTTACCAGGAGCTAGGTGCTGTGCTAAACTCTTTCGGGGAAATATCTCATTTAGCATTCAAAACTTCTAGCCTAAAGTCGGGACTGTTAATCCCATTGCACAGGTGAAGCAACTCAGACTTAGGGAAATGAAGTGATTTCCTCAGGTCACATAGCTTAGTGAACAACAGAAATGGCCTTCCAATTTAGGGCCACAGCAACCTTCAACAACCTTTACCTCGGCAAAGTCACTACTATGAAGAGTCACATTGCTCCCCTGTCAGCTCGCCAGCTTCCCTTTCTGTTAGCTTAATTGATTCATCTGTTTACCCATTCAATGAATATGTGTTATAACCCTACTCTGTGCCAGGCACAACAGGGAACAGAAGAGGGAACAAGATGGGCCCTGACCTCATAGACACTGCATTCTAAAAATAAATAGTTTGTCAGCTAGGGGAAAACGAAGCATGCTTGCTCATTTTTCGGGCTGAGTCAGAGGTTTTGAAACTCCTTAAATGTCAGGATCACCTTCTGAAAGCCTTTAAGTCTAAACCCTTTAATGTGTGTGAAGAGTTTGATTAAATGCTGATTTAACAGACTATAGATTAAATATTTAAAAAAATATGGTCTCTGGGAGGCTCCTGTGGCTCAAAGGAGTAGGGAGCGAGCTCCATCCTATGTGCTGGAGGTGGCAGGTTCAAACCCAGCCCTGGCCAAAAACTGCAAAAAATAAATAAATAAATAAAAATAAAAAATAAAAAATAAATATATATATATGTATTCTCTGCCTAAAGTTCTTTAAAAAAAAAAATTAAGAAACAAATTATGCTCCATATACTTTGCTCTGATTACCTGGAAAGAATTTGCAGTATGAAAACCACATTGGCGGAACTGCAAAGTCAATATGAACCTTAACCACACACACGATTTTCAAATCCAGTTTCTGCTTCCCTGTAATGATTTTTCTTGATGTAAATGGTGAGACTGACTTCTTTTTTCTAGCTTCATTTTGCTATGAAAATGATCCATAAAATTGAGCACAGTTGTGTTATCACAGCTTTTTTATTTTTTCTACATAGATTTGGCCTTCAACCAAGATGGCTGAGACAGTGGAGGAATGGCAATGTTTATCCTGGAGAATCCAGGATGTGGCTGAGGTAGAGACCAAGTATACAAATTTAGTAGTTACCATCTCTTCAACACTTGTGAGTATTACATGACAGACATGGTGCTGAGCACCATATACGCACAATCTCATTTAATCCTCACCACCATAGGTAGGTACTTTTATTTTTCCTGTTTTTCAGATGAGGAAACTGGGTCTCACAGAGCTACTTTACCTAAGAGCACACAGTTTTTAGTTGGGAAAGCTGGGATTTAAACCGGGTCTACTCCAGAGCTGAGGACTCACATGTGACCCAGACAGTCCCTGCTTCTTCAGGTTGAAGAGAGATTTTGTTCTCTGTTTAAAGTGACTTTAGGAGATTCCAGAACCTTGGATCACTTACTTTTAAAGTCTCCAGTCCATTTTATAGCAAATATATTAAATGTACATCCATCTTACATTAAACCAAAGGCATAAATCACATAATTACATAAGAGTTGACTTGTCAGTGACAAATTGACATATTGTTACATATTATAGAGAAGTTATTAAATATTCATTAATTTTAATTTTTCATTTTATTTTCCTGGTTTGGAGCCATCCTTGTTTTTTAATTTGTTTAAATATCTTTCTCATTCAGGTCCTTGAAAAAGCTTCAAGGTAGTGTATCAATATTCCCTGATATAAAAGACATTCCCACTTTTGTTGCCCTAGAGGGGAAGGAACTAACAAGTTAAAACTAGGAGACAGGTGTCATGGGATAGGCAAGCATAAGGAAATGCACCACCTCCAGAGGGCGTAAAGGCCCACTCAAGATCACTGAAGCACAGGAAGGAAAAGTCAGATTAAATGACCCTGGAAATCTCATCTAGGTCCATGGTTGTAAGACTCCTTAAAATATAAAAATTGCATGCAATTAATGTCTGGCTTGACTTGATTAGCCCACAATTGGGTGATTACCTGTCCCTACCATATTTAATTTTCTCTCTAACTAATTGCATAATAGATGTTGGCTACCAGTCACTACAGAATCAAAGATTAAACCCTAAAGGAGCTAAAGTGAATAACTCCAATAATAACTGTCATTTGAGTTCTTTCTATGGGCCAAGTACTACACTGATGATTTTACATACATTAGCACATTTCATCTTTACAACAACCTCATGGTGTACGCACTGGAACTGTTCCTATTGTAGAGATGAGAAAACTGAGCTTCACAGTTTGAGTGATTGAAATTTAGAACCAATTTTACCTGCACTGAAATTCTTTTTTTTTTTTTCTTTTGAGACAGAGTCTCAATCTCATCTCCAGGCTAGAGTGCCCTGGTATCAGCCTAGCTCACAGCAACCTCAAATTCCTGGGCTCAAGGAATCCTCCTGCCTCAGACTCCAAAATATCTGGGACTATAAGTACCATCTACTGCACCCAGCTAATTTTTCTATTTTTAGTAGAGATGGGTCTCACTCTTACTCAGGCTGGTCTTTTTTTTTTTTTTTTTTGAGACAGAGTACTGTCCCTCTCAACAGTAGAGTGCTATGGCATCCCAGCAACCTCAGATTCTTGGGGCTCAAGTGATTCCCTTGCCTAAGCCTCCCAAGTAGCTGGGACTAGAGGCTCTCACCACAACACTTGGCTATTTTTAGATAGAATCTCGCTCTTGCTCAGTCTGGTCTCAAACTTGTGAGCTCAAGTGATCTTCCTGCCTTGGCCTCCCAGTGGTGTGAGCCACTATACCTGGCCCAGGAAGTAGCTATTATTAACCTTATTTTACAGAAATAGAAAAAAAAAAAAAGAAGAAAGAAAGAAAGAAAGAAAGAAAAGAAAAGAAAAGAAAAGAAAAGAAAAGAAAAGAAAAGTTAAGTTCAGCCAGTTTAGGAGAGACCAGAACTCTGATAGGAAATAATGTAGGGTCAGCCTCCATGGTCAATGTGACCCAAGTTCTGATCTTCTGCCCTGTGTTCTCTGTTGAGGAAGACTGACCAAGTCTTTCCTTGATCCAACATGAAGAATTTACCTGCTCCTTCCAAGTTTAGAATCCAGGAATGCTAATGGGCTGTATTCTACTTAGAAGCCATCCTGGAAATCACTTAATCCAACCTATCAGTCCCCAGACATAGTCTGGAACCCATTCATGACAAAACATCACCAGTCTGGGAGTAAATCAGAAAACAAGGATAACATAGTGATTTTTTTTCATTAGATTAAATATACTTCTTAATATTTAAATAAAAGAGTAAAGTTTTTTATTAAATTGTTTTTAGAAGTTAAAATTTAAATAAAATGAAGCCTAAAAGACTGTCTTTTATTGCAATGATGGCAATAGTAGACTTTTATTTATTTATTTGGCAAAATATGTAGATCACCAAAATTATTTCTTAGAGGTAGGAATTTTGCTGAGTTGTAAAAACCACAAGTCTCTAAAGCTATTTCTTGGACAGAGGAGGAAGCTGAGCCTTGGGGATATAAAAGGCCTTGGTCCAGGCCACATGGCTAGTTTGTGGCTAATCCAGGATCCCAACCCAGGCGCCTTTTTCCCAGCATACATGTGTCTCCACCCACCCTCATCTCTAGCCTGTTTCAGGTACATGGAAATAGTCATGCTCCACTCCTCTTCAGCCATTTCTCCTTTTTTTCCCATATTGAAAATCCTCTGAACTCAGATACAAGCTAAAGGCTTCCTCCTACACCCCATGCATAATTACCTGAGTTGTGTCTCCCACTGGTAAGCATTCTTGGAAAGGTCGTAGTAAAGGGTCTCTGCAGAGTTGGAACAGGGGTGACCTTGGCTAAAGTTAGAAACCAACATAAGGGTGAGACTTTTCTGAGAGCAGAGAGCTTAATTCAGGGAATCAAAGGGCAGTAGAAAACATGTGGAAGACAGCAAATGACAAGAAATACACCCTCAGCTTCCAAACCTGCCTGGACACCTTTGTCGAGAGTATATCACACACTTCAAATATTTGGTGGAGGTGAGATGCAATCATCATTGTTACATTCTAATTTTTTTTTTTGTTTTTGAGACATAGTCTCACTCTGTTGCCCTGACTATAGTGCCATGTGTCATAACTCACAGCAACCTCAAAATCCTGGGCTCAAGCAATCCTACTGCCTCAGCCTCCCAAGCAGTTGGGACTACAGGCATCTGCCACAATGCCTGAATGATTTTCTATTTTTAGTAGAGACAGTGTCTTGCTCTTGCTCAGGCTGGTCTAGAACTCTTGAGTTCAAACCATCTTCCCACCTGGCCTCCCAGAGTGCTAGGAATACAGGCATGAGCCACTGTGCCCAGCCTCTAATTAACAATAGAACTAATAGCCACAAAAAATGGCTACACTATGAGCTGAGTACCCCATACTCACGAAGCGTGGGATGAGAAGTGTTTTGGATATCAGCCTTTGTCAGATTTTGGAATTATCACATTATGCCATGCTCCAGTGGAGTGTCATGTTGGTGTTCAAAAATCTTCAGGTTTGGGATACCCAACTTACAATGCTTTCCATAAAACATCATCTTATGAAATCCTTGCAGTGGCCACATGATAGGAATTATTATCATATTTTACAGAGGAAGAGGACACAGAGTTTAAATAACTTGCCAAAGATTATACAGCTAGTAGGAGGTACAGTTGGATTTGAACTTGGCCCCATCTGGCCACAAAGTACGAGTTCTATAAATCTTAAAACATGCAAGCCCATTTATCTCCAAGCACAAATGCAAAATCCAGTTTACAATCCTGTCTTCACCTGGGTTAGAATCACCTAGATAGATTTTGTAAAAGGTTACTACTTAGTTAGTTTCTACCTCCATGGATACTGATTTCTCTGGTTTGTGGCTGGGGGCCCAAGCACCCGTAGTTCTTTAAAAAGTCTCCAGATGATTCTAAAGAGAAGTCATGATCCAGGCTAACCATGATCCAGGCTTTTCTTCCCTTTCTATACCTCCCAGCATAAGTTTTAAAACAGATGGAGGGTATTAAACATTACTGGGCATCACTGATGCGGCCTGTTAAACTTTAGGGCTTGGGGACCCACCTCCAGGACTACAATTAAGACAGAGATGAGAATAATCAGCATATTTAATATGATACATTAATGAATCTTATGTAGAAAGAAGACATAAAAGGGCCCACTCACCTGGTTTGATGACCAACTTCAAGTCATATTTTTTATCATTCATTGGACCTGGGAATTGGATCCGGCAGCAATAGATCCCACTGTCTGCTGAAGTCACATTCTCTATGGTCAGGGATACGTTTCCTCGGTGGAAATTCCCCTTTAGCTGGTATCTGCTCGATGCCTGATATATCATGTTCCTTTCATTGACTCTGAGTATCTCAGTGCCACATTTTAACACAGGACAAGCTCCCTTGCCCCAGCATACAGGCACCAGGCTCCCTGGGGGGTTGGGAGTGTAGAAGCAGGGTAGTCGGGCATCCTGACCCACCTCCACTATGTATTCCTCTTCCAAAGACCCTGAACAGAGAAGGAAGGAAAGCATGACCCAGGCAATGAGTAAGGTTAGTCTATCTCAGGAAAACTGCAAGTAACGCCTTATAGAATAAAGAGAAAAATCACTGGGGCTGTCCTCTTTGGAGGATGATTTCTGTGGCAATGCTTCTCAGACTGGTGAGGCACTAAAATCATTCAGAAGCCTTGTTAAAACAGATTGCTAGCCAGGTGCTGTGGTTCACACCTGTAATCCAGCACTTTGGGAGGCTGAAGAGGGAGGATCACATGAATCCAGGAGTTGGAGGCTGTAGTGGGCTATGACTGCTTAATTGCTATAGTTCAGGACTCAGTTGGTCCAGGGTAGAGACTGAGAACTTGTATTTTTCCCACCCCCACCCCCTAAATAGTAGTATATTGAAAGAGAACTTGCATTTCTAACAGGTTCTCAGGTGATGACACAGCCTAGCCCTGGAAACTTACCTTCAGAACCACTGCCCTAGGAGAGAACTGCAGAGCAGTCTGTGAAGACAAGAACACAGACTGATGTATACAGACAATCATTGTCATTCAGGAAAACAGCCTGTCCATCCAGGCCAGTTGTCTTCATCAACAAAGGGTGGCTTTCCTAACATAAATCTCTCTCTTTTTTTTTGATAAGAAGATTGTGTATTTGAAACTATTCACAGGATGTTCTGAAGTTTAAATTTAATTCCTTTAAAAAAACGCTAAATATATACACATAAATAAATACACACATATACATACATACACATACATATATACATACACAGACAGGGTGCCAAAAAACTTAAGATGTATACACATCTTAAGAAAGGAAAAATCTGTATTAAAATTTTAATATTTAAGTCACATTTCACTTCTGCAATTACAAGAAATACTCAAATGTGACTTCTATTCATCTTTTGTTATTGGTATATATTGAGTATTACAATTTTATTTATTCATTTATTTATTTTGAGACAGAGTCTCAGTATGTCACCCTTAGTAGAGTGCCATGGTGTCATAGCTCACAGCAACCTGAAACTCTTGGGCTTAAGTGGTTCTCTTGCCTCAGCCTCCTGAGTAGCTGGGACAATAGGTGCCTGCCACAATGCCTGGCTATTTTTTGGTCACAACTGTCTTCTTTAGCCCTGGCTGGGCTTGAACCCGCCAGCTTCAGTGTATGTGGGCGGCGCCCTATTCACTGAGCTACAGGCCCCGAGCCATTACGATTTTAGTGTAAAATACTCAAACAGTATAAAAGATGTTTGAAAAATATGACTCCCTCTCCCAACTCTTTACCATTTCTCAGCTCGTTTTCCAAGAGCCTATACATTAAGAAGTTTTAAAACATTCCTGTTCCCTAACCATGCACACACACACAAACAGAAGGCAATAGATGCATTATTCTGTGCCTTGCTTTTTTCAATAACATTATGACTTGGAGACTTTCTATACCAATATAGAGTGCCAGTCTAGTCGGTCTCACTGTTTGCATTATGGATCTATCACATTTATTTACTCCCTCACTGGTAGACAGTTAGGTTGCTTTCAAACTTTTGTTGTTACAAACAACATTACAATGAGCACCCTTCTATGTCTCTCTCACACACACACTCTGTACACCACCATTATTCAGTTATAAATGTTCACACCCAGACTTACTTGCAAGTAGTAACAGCAGCAGCAGCAGGACACAGTCAAAGGAAAGATGTGAAAACATGGGTTCTGTAGGAGAAAAGTCAAAGGACAGCTCTGTTCCGTGCAGTTTTAACTCTCCAACTGAACTGGGTACTTCCTCCAACTGTCAATTCCTGGATGATCACATAAGCCAGCAGCCACCCTCACTCAGCGCCAGTCCAGCACACCACGTGTTGGACTACCAGGGATGCCTATGTTAACAGTGCTAGGTCTCCAATAATGTTAATAGAAACCCCAGTTCTCTGTCATGTCATACTACACATATCCTGTAAGCGTTCTGATGCTCATCCTGTTGTATCACCAAAGAGGAAGCAATACTTCAGAGGAAGAAGGTGTTAGTCATAGTAAACAGAAACAGCCCTCTGATACCGCAGATGAAATAGGCCTGACACAGACCATGTGTGAGCCCAGCTGGTTCCCAGGGAACACAAACATCTCATTTGTTCATTCATTCACTTGAGGCGGTCCTTTAGTCAGACCTGTGAGTAATTATTATGAAGCCCCTATTGGGGGTCCTCAAACTTTTTGAACAAGGGGCCAGTTCACTGTCCCTCAGACCATTAGAGGGCTGGACTATAGTTTAAAAGGACAGGAAGCAGCTAAGCAGGACAGGCAATGGTGGCAAAAACACCTGGTGGGCCGGATAAATGTCCTCAGTGGGCTGCATGTGGCCTGTGGGCTGTAGTTTGAGGACGCCTGCTTGTGACAGGTACCGGGGCAGGAGCTGGAGGTTACAATAATGAATGGCACATTTCTGACCTTCACATTTATGGGTCATTTCCACTCCGGTCATGAGCATCATTCTCATCCTTGTTCTCATATAGATGATGGTGTCATATAGCCTTCTGGGCCTCAGTTTCCTCATTTTTAAGATTTATAGAATGAGAAAATTGCATTATATGATATATGCACAGCATGTATAAGTAGCTGGACTGCAGGTTCCCTCCCTGTTCTAATATTCTAATTTTCACTTTCAAAAATATGAAATTCAGGAAAGACATGTTCCTTCCTGCAATGCTGCTTTTTCCCTACTTTGAGTGGAGTTGAGGGGCTTTCAATATTCCATTTCATCTCATGCACCCAAGGTGTTCTCTCTCCTCCCACCCCAAAGGCTCTGGGCATGAATTTGGCAGAAAATATTAAGTTCCAGCCTCACCAGCCATTACTGAAGTAACACCTCACAACCCAAACACTCCTAGCTCTGGGAGAGACATTTTTATCTGTGTATTTTAAAAGCCAAAGTTTTTACAAAAGGGAAGTAACTCCAGACTGCATGGTTTCTGAGAACCCAGTGGCCTTCTTGACTTTTCTTGTCACTCACCTTTATGCCATTAAACACATTTATTGTAAATATCTGACTTATTCAGTGTATACTTCCATAGAATCACAGAGTGGCAGTTACTCAACAGATCATAATCAATTTCCTCATTATATAGACAGGAAATCTGAGACTCAAAAGATTGCCCAAAGACACATGTTTGGTAATTTAGAATGAAAACACTGGCTGGGTGCACTGGCTATATATAATCTTAGCAGTCTGGGAGGCCGAGGTGGAAGATCACTTGAGCTCAGGATTTGAAGACCAGCATGAATAAGCGCACGATCCTGTCTCTACTAAAAATAGAAAAAATTAGCCCAATGTCATGGAGGGAACCTGTAGTCCAACTACTTGGGAGGCTGAAGCAGGAGGATCATTTTGAGGTTCTGTGAGCTAGGCTGATGCCATGGCAGTCCAACCTAGACAGTAAGTGAGATACTGTTTAAATAAATTAATTAATTAATTAAAGAATAAGAACACAGGCCACAAGCCCCTAAGCTCCAGACTTTTCTACTATCAACTATGTTTCACTAAATTAATATTTGTCTTTAATTTATTTGCCCACATACCTAACAACCACCAACAAATGCCCTTACTCAAGTATAAAGTCGAGTAGCTTAAACATGGGATCAAGGGTCATAGTTACTAGTGGCATGACATTAGTTTGAGCAAAGCTCTTTAGGGCACCAACCTTAAGATTTTTTTTTTGTTTGTTTGTTTGTTTGAGACAGGATGCCATTATTTTGCTAAAGAATAGGACATTCTCATGGTTCACTAAAACCTCAAACTCCTGGGATCAAGCAATCCTCCTGCCTCAGCCTCCCAAGATGCTGGGACTATAGGTCCCCACCATGACACCTGGCTAATTTTTCTGTTTTCTGGAGAGACAAAGTCTAGATACCTTGCTCAGGCTGATCTTAAACTTCTGGCCTCAAGCAATCCTGTCTCAGCCTTCCAAAGTGCTGGAATTACAGGCCTGAGCTGGCCTGACCTTCAGTTTCTGTGTTTCGTTTTGATTAGTTTGTCTTCTAACCATCTTTAGAATTGCTGATACCAGGTTTATAAAATAGTAACAATTTATCAACTGGTTAAAGTCTGTATTTGAAGAATCCTAGAGATCTAGTTTAACTCTTTCTTTTCTGTTGGGAAGGGACTGATTCTGAATATTTTCATGTTAGCTTAACTTTTAGTTCTTGTTTATTTTAAAATATTGTTTATGTAATACATAAAAAGTTAAAGCAATATAAAAAGCTTGTGTTGGGAAGCCTTATCACCAGGCATGGTGGCTCATGCCTGTAATCCTAGCATTCTGGGAGTCTGAAGCAGGAACATCTTTAATTTAGCTTTTTTTTTTAAGACAAAGTCTCACTTTTGTCACCCTTGGTAGAGGGCCATGGAGTCACAGCTCACTGTAACCTCAAACTCCTGGGCTCAAATGATCCTCTTGCCTCAGCGCTCTGAGTACCTGGGACTACAGGAGCTGGCAACAAAGCCTGGCTATTTTTAGAGACTAGCTCTCCCTCTTGTTCAGGCAAGTCCAGACTTCTGAGCTCAGGCAATCAACTCACCTTGGCCTCCCAGAGTGCTAGGATTGTGGGCATGAGTCACTGTGCACCTGGCCCTAAATTTAAATTTTTTTAAATGGACAGTCTGCTCTATAATTATAATACCATTATCACACATAGCAAAATTAACAATGATGCCTCACTCATTCTCTCAAAACTATCCCTTTTTCAATAGGTTTATTTCAATTTGGACCAAACAAGGTCAAACACATTGCATTTTGTTATGTCTCTTAAGTCTCTTTTAATCTAAGACAGTCTCCCCTCTTTTCTCACTGATGTTAACTGGTTATACAAACCAGTTTTGTCCTGTGAAAGTTCCACATTCTGGGTTTGTCTGTTTTCTCGTGGAGTCATTTACAAGGTTCCTCTTTTCTTTGTATTTCCTGCAAATGAAACTCAGCTCTAGAGGTGTGATTAGAATCAGGTTTGACATTTTGGCAAAACCACATCACTGCTGGTGCCCTGTGCTTCCTCTTCCATCATCATTGTCTGGTTGCCCCGCCTTTAGAGATGCCTAGATTGATGAGCTGAGACTTTCTTTTTTAATTTACTACATTCTGGAAATCTTCCCATTTCAGCTCATATAGAATGCCCTCATTCTTTATTGCAGCTACAAAGTTCTATTAGATGACAATAACACAGTCTATCAGACCTTTCAAATGGACGCCTCATGTCTCAGTTTCCTCGTTGGCAAAGATGATCACAAAAGACCCACCCAAGACTATGATTCTTTAATTATGTGCAATGGAAGTTTGTTTTTTAAGAGGAGCCTTTGCGTGTGTTTTTGGTAAAGGGGGTCTTATGTATGGTAATTAATTAGCTTCTAAATTGTGTTTAGAAAGCTGTGTCATTAATTTTCTTAAGGGTCAGTTGTTGAGTATTGACTGTAATTATGTAGAAGGTTACTTGCTGGAGATTAAGGTTGTGTTTTTTCCCCTTATTAATCAGGAAAAGTCACAGAAAAATCTCAGATTCCTTAAAAATGGCATCCATGTTCCCAATGGAAACATTAGAAGTATACATAACTAGAATTACACCTGTGTAGGTAACTAGGGCGCCACTTGACAAAATTTATGAAGTGGAAGTTAGAGAATTGCACCCAGGTCAAAACAGGAAAACATGGGTGAGATAGATGGGATTACCTGGGAAAGCTCACTCCACGTAGAATCTTTCTGACACAGGAAGTACAGTAGAGTGAATATTGACAACAAAAGGTGGGGACCCTATATGTACTTGATTTGAATCAATTATCTGCTCTTAACTTAAATTGCAACATCTCAATTCAGTGACATGGACATTAGTCCCCAAATTTTGCCACATTGAAGTTGAAAGCAATTTTGAACTAGATTTTCTGACTTCCAGATTGCACCTAGTGACCTCCCATTAAGAATACTTGTTACCTTGTATGCTTGTACAGGGTTTGAAAAACTCTTTTATTATATAAATCATATTCACTGTAGACAATTTTGAAAAATAGGAATGAAAAACAAATAAATGAAACAAAGGCCATAGTCCCAGTACCATGAAACAACCACTTTCAACGTGATGGTTGTCTCTTGGATGCTTTTCTACAGACCTTTATACATATACACACATCTAATTCCTCATTAATATCAATGCATCCAGTGGGAAAAAAAACAAAAACAAATATAAAACGTGACTCCTAGACAACTGTGAATGTCATGAAGACAGATCAAGAGAAGGTACCGATTTATTTTTGCATTCCCCATTAAACCTATTAGTTCATGGACTCTACCTCAGATGGAAGCACTTTTATTTCTGTGGTCTCAGTCCATTCACATGTGTCAAATCACTTGCAACACTTTTTCCCTCCCCTCCTAGTGCCAGCTTGGAGAAGATGACTTCAGATTAGTGAGATCCTAGGAGGACAGAACTCCGGGTCTTTCAGGATCTTTAGGATGACACATTTACAGAGACAAATAAATTTCCCTCTTACTATTGACCACGTCTCCTAGCATGATATTGTTGTATTCTAGACTGATTTTGGTGTGTTCACAGACCAAAGAACCTCTGCATCAAAAACCAAATACTTTATTTACACTGCAAATGATAGAAAGCTCAACTCAAAATGATCCAAAATATAAAGTAAGTTTATTTATTTATTAATTTATGTGACACAGAAT